TTCTCCTGGTTCCGCTTTGACCACGGGCGGAGGACACAGGGGGAGGTGACTCCGGACCACTGCAGGTTGGTCATGAAGCCCACCCTCCAACTCTCCAGAGCCTCTCCCCTCACTGCCGCCCTCCTGACACAGAGCCCAGCACCACCCAGAGAGCACACTGGCCCCACGCCTCGCAGGGCCGAGCTGGGCCCACACAGACCCGAACACGCCCAGGTCACGGCCTCCAGACCTGCCTCTCCCGGCCTCCTCCTGACTCCGCTCCTCTCCTCTGCCTCTCCAGTGTGCGTCTGTCACCCCCCATTTCACCAGAGCGTCCTCGGGAGCTGGGGTGTGGAGGGTGGGTGGGTTACGGGCCGGAGTGTGGTGGGGAGGGGGCCTGGCTGTCAGGGCTGTGTCGGGCGCAGCAGGTAGGTCGGGTTTCCTGCCCCACCAGCCCTGGCTCGCTACCCTCTCCCTTCCCTCTCCCCTCACTCTTCCCCTGCCTTAAACCCGAGAGCACACTGCATCTGGGGCTCTCAGCCCCCCAGGTGGGAACAGGAGTGGCAGTTAATTCAGGGGGATTTGGGAGGGCCCTGGAAAAGATGCTGTTGAGCTATCCTGCCAGTAGCCAGGGTGGGTAGAAAAAAGAAGCAAAGGAACCCTGGACGGATGTTAGGACATGGACTGGCTGTGCAGCTAGGGAGGCTGAGGAGACTTTCCTAGATCATATCATGGCTCAGCAGCCAGGCCATTTCCAGGCACAGGTGCCTGAACAGCGAGTTGAATAACCTCTATTCTTTTTCGTTTGGTTTGGTTTTTTGAGACAGGGTTTCACTGGCCCAGGCTGGCCTCAAACTTGTAGTGATCCTCCTGCCTCAGCCTCCCGAGTACTGGGATTACAGGCATGCGTCTATTTTTGCCGTAACTCACGTGCCTGGGTTGCTCCTGCCAATCACTGCCCTCTCCCACCAACCAGTGGCATTGCCAGACGTCATCCTGCCCAAAAAAAGCTGCAATGGGAACCTGTCCGCTGCAAACATCATCCCCGAGATGCCCGTTTCTGTGGGTCTGATCTGCAGTGGGCAGCGGCCCCTCACGCTGCAGTTTTGACTCTGCCAGCCCAGCCTCTCTTGTCAGTACAGTTAGTGATCCGTAAACAGATGCTCAGAGGCACCAGGGGACCTCGCCGCTTCAAGGGTTCCTGCCGGGAATTCTTTTGTAAAATGAATAACGGCACCCTTATTTATCTGCTTTCTAAATTTGGGTCCCGGGGGTGTAAGGGGCATGCCCATGTGCCATCACAGGCAGACAACAGAGGGAGTCTAAGGCTCCTTCCTGCACCCCAGTGCGCTCAGCCAAGCCTCACTTCCTGTCCCACTGACTGGCCTCCTAAGAGGCCCACTTTGCCTAGGGCTGGGGCTTGGGCAACCTGGGAGGTGAGTTCTGTGTGCTGGGGCGAAAGGAGGGCTGATCTGGAGCCTCAGGTATCCCACGTGTAGCACCGTATTTGGACATTTCTTCTAAACCACTTGCAGGTACTGGTCCCTCTGCCACTCAGCCATTAATTGAAAAAGCTGAGTGACCAGAAGTGTGGGAGAATGAAGGTAACTTCCTTCTCTCCCAGCAGAGGCACAGAAGATGAGACTAGGATGGGGGTGGGGATGAGGCCTGGAACCCACGCCCTGCAGCTGGGAGCCCAGAGAGCCCCCACACTGAAAGAAAAGGAAAGTGAGGGTGCACAGGGACAGATGCAGACCGGGGCGTGCTGGGTCTCCGCAGGCACCGCTGGTCACTTCCCTGAACCCCCTTCCTCCCCCAGTACAGTTAAACCTCTAGTTTGGGGTGTTATATTGGAGAAGATGGCCACTCTGAATAAGTGACAAAAGTGAATGACAGTGTCTCTTTAATGAAATGCATGTCTTCAAAATATCTACAGTAAGTAGAACTTGGCGAACAAGGCTTCGTCCAGGCGGCGTCAGGGAGCTTGTGTCAGTGAGAGATGGCATTGAAAAGTCTGCTCGCTGCCGCAGGTTAAATACCCCTCCCACAGACACATTCCCACCGCTCCTTTGCTTATTAGCACACCCTTCACAGATAAAGGCAAACTCAAGCCCAGTTTTTGTTCAAATCGTGACAGAATCCCAAATCCCCAGGGGTTTGGATGGATGAGGTTCTGCTGTACTGCGCCCCCCTCCGTGCACGTTCCCACCCGAGAA